GATCCTTAAGGAACTAAGGGAGGAAGTCGCAGAAACGCTGGCACAAATCTTTCAAAAATCACTGAATACTGGAGAGGTGCCGGGGGACTGGAGAAAGGCAGATGTTACTACTCATTTTAAGAAAGGAACAAAAGTGACCCAGGAAACTACAGGCCAGTAAGTTTGACGTACAATGTGGGTAAAATGATGGAGACTCTTACTAAGGATGAAATCATGGAGCATCTGGACAGAAATAAAATCATACATGGTAACATATGGGTTCATGAAGGGAAGGTCTTGCCAATTTAATTTACTGGTTTTCTTTTACAGTGTGACAAGGGAACTTGATAAGGGTAAGGCTGTGGATGTTGTATATCTGGATTTCAGTAAGGCCTTTGATACAGTTCTTCTTGAGAGGTTGGTACTGAAAGTAAAAAAAAGCGGGAATCAGTGGAGGTGTATTACAATGGATATGCAATGGGTTGACCAGAAGAACCCAGAAGGTGTTGGTACAGGCAATGTCATCAGACTGGGTAAATGTTACCAGTGGAGTTTCACAAGGGTCTGTTTTGCGACCTCTTTTGTTTAATATTTTTATAAATGATCTGGAACTAGGAGTCGCAAGCACAGTGGCTAAGTTTGCAGATGACTGCACGCTAATGAAAGTGGTAGATTACAAAGCTGAACAAGATGGGTTACAGGAGGATTTGAACATACTTGTGAATTGGGGAGATCGGGGGCAGATGAAATTCAATGTGGAGAAATGTAAAATACTTCACATGGGGACAAAAATCTTGAAAGGGACTATTATTTGATTGGACGGAAAATAATATGTATGGAAAACGAAAAAGACCAATTGACAATAAATTGAAGCTCTCCCAACAATGCTCTCTGTCAGTGAGTAAAGCAAACCAGATGTTAGGATATATCAAAAGATCAATTGCAAGCCGAAATAGTGGGGTAATCCTCCCACTGTATAAATCATTAGTGAGACCATACTTGGAATACTGTGTACAGTTCTGGTCACCGCAGTATAGCAATGATATTGGAAAAGAAGATACAGAGGAGGGCAACCAAAATGAATGAGGGAATGGAAGGACTGGACTATGAAGCGCGACTAAGTCAATTGGGCATGTTCACGCTGGAAAAGAGAAGATTGAGAGAAGACATAATTGCTGTCTTTAAGATTCTAAAGTGGCGAGACAATATAGATCATGACAGGCTGTTTGAATTTGTTCAGAATAGCAGAACCAGAGGACACAGCCTGCGATTGAAGGGGGGTAAGTTGACAACAAAACTACGCAAACATTATTTCAGTGAGTGAATAGTAAACCTGTGGAACAGGCTCCCTGGGGAGCAGGAAATGTTGATTCTTTCAAACGCAGATTAGATAGTTTTCTTTTAGAAAATAACATTATGGGATATAGTAGATACGCAGTTTGGGACATATGTACTTGCGACCGCCAGGAAGGTGGAAAGCGAACTAGATGAACCTTGTTTTTTTTTGTGTAGCATTTCTTATGATCTTATGTTCTTATCAATCTTCATCTGAAGAGCACATATATTATAGGAACATTTTTCCATGGCTTGAGCAGCAACAGATCAAGAGTTATGAATCTACTGGAATTATATAAGAAATTAACTACATGAAAAGATGAGGGCTGTTCAGCAGACTGTAATTTAATTTGGATTTTTCAGGCATCATTTGATAAAGTTCCACACGTGAGACTTTTAAACAAAAAGTGCCTGAAGACCTTCCTCTTTGATCGTGCCTTTGGTCACCTGGCCCCTCCCCTTCGACGGCATTATGCTCTGCCACTGGCAAGTGCTCTGGGATACTACCCTGAGTGAATGATGCTATATAAATGCAAGTTGTTGTTGTGAGTTGGTCCTGGAATGAAAACTCTTGCCAATATTTCTTTTGGTCGCACATGTGCGGAAACCCATCAACGTGCTTTAAGAGTACCGAGCCAAATCAAGAGCTCTGTGCGTCCCAATTACAAAGAGGAAACAGTGGATATAAAGTGATGATCAATCGAAAAAGCTTTGCCTGTGAGGGATTATTTACGAAATGCAAAAGCAAGGCTGTGTTCTGGGCCTCTGCAATTTTAATGTTGCGGAGGCCCAGAACACAGCATGTTCAAATCCATTCACTCCCGGCACTTCCCTATCTCTCTGACTTCCTCACTCCCCAAACCACCACCCGGCGCCTCTACTCGACTGGCACCGGCCTCCTGCTCATCCCTCACACCCTCCATCCCACCATCGGAGGTCGTGTTTTCTGCCGCTACTCTGGAAAACTCTGGAACGCTCTCCCTCAATCCCTCCCCTTGCCCCCTTTCTCCCCTCTTTCAAGTCCCGCCTGAAGACTTTCCTGTTCGACCGTGCTTACGCCATCTCCCGACGGCTTGGAGTCAGGCTCCGCTGCTGTTAAGCGCTCTGAAACTCTACCCTCCGTGGAGGGCCTATATACGTGCAAGTTGTTGGTGTTGTTGTTAATAAATGACTCAGAGGAGATCACTTCATGTAGTATTAAATTTACCGATGACACCTGTAGGGTTGTCCTATTAAGGGATAAGATTTCATGGCCTATGTGTGAATAAAAGTGAAACAGTGCGTACGAGGAGCCAGTGAAGGGTGTCTGAAACATGTGGACAATGTAAAATAAAGCAGTGTTCTTGTGGGTAACTCTAGTCTGAGTCTATCCTAAAAGAATAATGTGGCAGTGAGGACATGTCTTTGTTTAAACAAAGAATCATTCATTTTCAGATGGAGTTTTGCAGAGGCAGGGCATTTCTGGAAAGGAAAATGCTTCCCAGTTGGTAAACTGTGAAACCATTGAGAAATAAATGAATTATTTTCATATTAGCCACCAGATGGATTTACTCTCAGTATCCCTGGAACAAGATGGATAAAGCTCATCTGAATGATTTCAAAATACTTTGGGCTTGGATTCAATAATTTGAACTAAATGAATTGAGATTAATTGGCTCAATAGCTGAACAAACCAAAAATGGTTTTATTCAGCCTCAACACTGTAGGATAGATTGAAAGGCATTTTCTTATGTGTGAAAACCCAATTTATGTAAGGGCTAAATTCAAGCAAAGGAAATGTGCAGAATGTTTTTTTTAGCTACTGGTGCCCATTTTCTGGAACTCCATTCCCAGGTCCCTCTGACAATTCACTTTCCAGTACATTCTGTGCAGTGCTTTGACACGTCTCGAAATCGTGATAAGGCGCTATGATAAATGCACATATTATTTTGAAATATTATCTTGCATGACTTCATAGTTGCAACATTCAACGACATAATCAAAACGTAGTGTATTTATCAAATTGTGCTCAATAGACACGATTGCGAGTGCATTCAATCTATCCGGGATCATTGTAGATCTGAGTGAGGTTAGATGAGAATCATCTTTGAGAATGAGGTTCACTTCAGATTGTTACTGGTACTGATAAGAACGAACAAAGTACAACATTTGGAATTGTTGATTCCACCAAGTGATTCTGTTTCATATACTTTATCATTTCTCGCACACTTAAGTTTTGGTTTTTGCACACTTAATATGTGATATGAGATCCAGAAAGTGCCTAAATTCATCAACACTTTCTGCATCAAAATCTTTTTTCAGCGTTACTAAGCTCTATTTGCTGCTAGACATGGCTCCTGCTCTCCAGCTACCTCTGACCTTGTCTAATCTCCTGGAGATATGACTCATACTTCCAGCTCCGCCTCTCCTCCTGACGCTCACTGCTCTGCCTCATATCGGATAGCGATGGGAAGAGAGGTGCAGCTGGGAGGTAATGGCATAACTCGTAATAAATAATCCTTGCATTTGATATAGCACTTTATCACATCTTCAAGATGTCTCAAAGCGCTTCACAACTGTACTGTGAAGTGAATTGACTGTATATTTTGTGGGCGAAACATGGCAGCCAATTGAATAGTCGTGGATTGAATTGACCAATTATTATTATTAGTTTTCTTGAAGGAATTATTACCCCCGGGAAAGCGATCCGCCAATTGACTACCAACCAGAGTTCCTACTTAGTGCTAAGTAAACAAAGCGGTATGGAGTAAGGAAACTTGCTCAAAGTTTCACCCTGCCGGGAATCAAACCCAGATCTCTCACTTGCAAGGCGAGTGCTCTAACCACTGGGCTACAGGACTCCACAATCATAGCCAGGACCCCTCAGACCTCGTGGGGCCATAAGGCATAGTTTATTTGCTGTGTTGGCTGATCACATTCTGGTACAACCCCCAAAGAGGCCAATCATCAAGAATGAAGGGTTGAGTGGATTTGATTTGAACCTTGACGTGAAAAACCTTCTGGTTTCACCTGAGCTGGGAGGGAGAAGGACTATAACCGTCCCATGGTTCCCCTGTTAAATGTTATTAGGTAACACAATGTAGGTCGTCAAAAAGACAACTGGACATTAATTTGATTAGCAATGTGAAATTTGACCAACTTGGTTATCTCAATGCTACTTATCACCGTGCTTGCCATACAAACGTAGACCTGAGCTGGATGTGAACTGTCCGCACGGGTGATACATGATCAACCCACAAGAATTCCCAGTAGACTGGGCTCCCAGTATAAACATTATTAGGCTCTTTGTGCTCAGGAAGGACTTCCTGCTCAGCCCAAGTGGCCAGTTTTTATGCTGTAGCATTCTATGTAATATGTAATACAAGAAAATATAAGTTTAAAATGAAACAACCTGACCATCCTGCAGATGAGACGTTAAAAATCTTATGGTATTTTCAAAAAGAGAATTCAATATTTGGTTCTGGTGGTTGGTTAAACGAGTTTCGTAAATATTAGCCTTGAGAAAAATGACTGTCAACATGAACTCACTCACTACAATACAGCGCTACCATAGATGCCTGGTCCTTCAGCACTTAACGTAGCACAGGAGCAGACTTTGCTAGCAAAAGGGAGGAAAAGATCACTTTACGATTTTCATATTTTAAGCCAAAAAAAGGTAACGGGTAAAGGAGTTCCACGATACTTACTACAAAGTTGTTTAAACCTGATGCTCCTGCATTTCCAATGAAAATCCCCGAGCTGGAATCAAAGACTAAGGGTTGAGATGATCGCTTCATGTAACTTCGCTGATCTTCCTCACAGTCTAAGTACAGGGTGACAAGATTGTCTTGAATAGACAAAGCAAAGCGTGTCCACTTGTTTGTCATGGCCGGCACCTCAAAGGAAGCCACCTCGTGGGAAGCTTGATAGCTCCTCTCCGTGTAAAATAACACAATCCGCTGACTACCATTCCACACTGAAGTTAGCTTCAGCCCCAAGTAAATGATGCTTTGAAAGGCATTCGTGATTGCAAACAGCACTCCACCATTTTCACTCTCTGGCCTAATGGTCACGAGAATTGCAAAGTCCCTGTAGAAACGCGAAGGTATCATCGTCCTAGTCAACCGACCAATGTTTACTCCTAGTCCGAAACTGTATGCAGGGAAGCCTTCATATCCCGTGATGAAGGAGACATTTGCTGGGAGAGGTACCCCAATCAGTCCAGTGAGATCAAGGTGTCCAATGGAGCCTCTTTCTGTAAAAAGAGAAAGTGCACAAAGGTACTGGATTACTTTTACTGTTGTTATAATAATACTCCTTGCATCTGATACAGTAACTTATTGTGTCATCCAGGCATCTCAAAGTGCTTTACAAAGTGCTTCACAAGTGTTTCATTGTGATCATGGAATACAGGACACAAAATTGCAGCATTTCTGAACACATAGAGGCAATTCACTAAACCTACCTTTAGTAGCAGAATAGAACTTAAGCTCGATCAATAAATGACACATGACAAATGATCCAAACTGACACATACCTTAAACGAGTCGTTGAGATTACATATCAAGAATGATACAGGATGGGTGTACAGTTTTGACAGCAGGATAAAAGGAATTACTATAGAAAAGTAATGTACAGTCTCCCAAAGGAGACTGTAGCATGTTGCCACTTCCCACATACAGTGAATTGCAACTGACTCTTCCCCGCCCAGTACAACAGTGTAAAGATGCCTCTTTTCTGCTCCATCGGTAGGGTCTATACCGTTCCATGCAGCACATTTATTGATCAAACTTAAGTTCTATTCTGCTACTAAAGGTAGGTTTAGTGAATTGTCTCTATGTGCTTAGAAATACTGCTATTTTGTGTCCTATATTCCATGATCACAATGAATATTAATGGATTAATGTTAAGCAGAGAACAGCTTCAAAGCTATTAATGTTGATGCTGACATTTTAAACTTCCAAATCATTCTTTATTCTTAGTATTCTATCTAATTTTGGAATAAAAATGTATCCAGCTTTTAAATAAAACCAGATACCCGAGAGCCAAAGTGATATACACCAGAGAAGAAATGCCCACAGTCCAACAATCGGCAACTCTTTGAACACGTTTATCAACAAAATGTAAGAGTACAGTAGCTATTATTTAAATGTGGAGGTGAAGATTCTTCCAGAGATAAAATGAGACAGAATCCGCTGAGATTCAAGGTGGGGTCGTGTAGTTGTAATTGAAACACTAGCCCTTCCGACGATGGATGAGTCAGATTGTCTGAGGTCATTTTTTGCTGTGATAATAATAATAATAATAATAATAATCCTTGCATTTGATATAGCGCTTTTCACGTCGGGAGGACGTCCCAAAGTGCTTCACAGAATAGACTGTAAAGTGAATTGACTGTATATTTGTGGGCGAACGCGGCAGCCAATTGCGCACAGCAATGTCCCACAAACAGTCGTAGATTGAAAATGACCAATTTATTATTGCTTTGTTTTGGAGGGATTATTATTAGGCTCTGTGTGGAGTAAGGAAACTTGCCCAAGGTTTCGCCCTGCCTGGAATTGAACTCAGGTCTCTCACTTGCAAAGCGAGTGCTCTAACCACTGAGCTACAGGACTCCACAAGTGAGGTTACTGTATGTACTGTATGGTTTCAGCTGTTAGAAACTGTGTACTCAACAGTATAGCAAGAAACCCGAGCATCAGGGAAAAGCTTTCAGTCATCACCTCCCTCGTCTCTAGAACTCCAACCTAAAATCTCGTTCCTCCCGCTCTGCTTTCAAAACCTTTCCAAAGATATACTTCCCCATTTTACACTCTGCAGTGGTTTCCACCCCTTTCTCTGTGGAGCAATGTAAGACACTATCCCATGTGAAAGACCATATCCTAGAACAAGTTATTGTTAATCAATAATAAATAATCCTTACGTTTGGTATAGCACCTTTCATGTCAGGAGGATGCCACAAAGCACTTCAGAGGATATACTCTAAAGGTGTGACTGTTTTTTCTGAAGCAAATGAAAGCCAGCCGTTAGTTCCCTTTAAGATGTGCAGTACATCCATGCGAAAGAAAATAAGTGCGGAGGAGTTTAAGATACAATTGCTGGTGAATCATGCACTACAGACAACTTGCTGAAAACTGATAAACTTCAGGGAGTGAATCAGCACATGACAGACTGTACTGTTTCTGCACATCAATTAATCTGCCACTTGATCAAAGGAGAGTATTATGTATTTATACCAAGAGGTCATCTTACGGTTTAGGCTGACTTTGATATTAAGTTGAGCCTAGATAATGTTGTGCTACCGTAATTCTGCAGATGTTTTTTCATTCTTATATTTATGATAATTATGCTGTGGTATTCTGCATGCTGAGATACAGTTAAATCAGGAATTTGAAAGACTGCTTGCCAGCTCAGAATAAATGGTGCTTTAATGCCAGAAAGGGCATGACAGCAACAAGAGAGCCCTTATACAGTGTCATTCAAGTTGGAGAATGATTCAAGGCATTTTACAGATTTGGAATTGATACCAGAGCTGGATGGGAGATGGGTGAGTTAAGCAGAAGGTGGCCAAAGCTCATTGAATGAAAAGATCTTAAAAGCAGAGAGGGAGTGAAGAAGGCAGAGGCTTTTAGGGAGAGAGTTCTAGAGAGTATGGTGCAAAATGGTTGTAATCACTTCAGGTTGTAAAGTGCATCTCCTGCAGAGAACCAGCTCTAAGGTGGATTCAGATCAAAATCGAAGTCTTATGGTTTGGAGTCATGTAGTTAATGTTCCCTGACGCAGACCCATTTAATTCCCAACTCACTTTCTCCGGGTCGAGGGATCATTTCTGCTGCTGTTTTTACCAGCAGATGCCTTTTCAACCTCAAAGTGGTAGACAATACTTAAATTGTTGACTCAAGTCCTTGAGGTGTTCCAATTGAGGGAAGAGTTCCTATTAACTGCTGTTGGCTGCAACAGTTTATTTAATTTGCTTATGATGTTGAGATGACTCGTAGCCAGTTTAGAAATCTTATTTAAACTAGACACAGATGCAAATCTCAGTGAACTTCACGAGTAGCTGAAATCAAACCAATCTCACACATTCACAGAAGCAAAGAAGCTTATAGCACAGAAGAATGCCATTTGGTTCCTCATTTCAGTGTTGGCTCCTTGAAAGAGCAATCCACTCAGTTCCATTTACCTGCATTTTCCCCACACCCCTTCAAATGTCTCCTTTTTACATATTTATCTTGTTCCCTCTTGAAAGCTAATATGCATCATGTCTTGACCACCGCATTGGCAGGACATTCCACATCCTAGCAACTCTCTTGTAAAAATAATTACTCTTAATTTGGTAACTATCTAATCACTGTTTCAATAATCGCTAGAAATAATTTCTCCTCCACTCTATCAAAACCTTCATAATTTTAAAGACCTCTTTTACGATCCCCCCTCAGTCTTTCTGTTTCATCCCTGTTTTATTCAAACCAGATGTCCAAACTACTTTACAATAAATTCCAGTGGCTATAAATACTATTACCAGACAATATTGTGTACCTCAAACTTCACTTACATCTCTCTGCATCGGTCTGCGATTACGAAATTCTGCAACAAACTAGTTACTAACTTGACAAAAAAAGTCAAGAGCTCCAGGACGCTACCCCGTGTGAAGGGCGCTACATAAATGCAAGTTGTTGTTGTTGTTAAGGATCTTTTATTGAGAACCTAAGTGAAGGGCCATGGTGTGGCACATCAACAATATTATAAAGAGTTGCAGTGAACTCGAGATAGGGCAGGAAGTGATGAGGAAATACCAAGCTAAGGTTCTGAAGAGCTTTTATATTGTACGAGGCATAGATCACAATAATAAATAAACCTTACAACTGATATAACTTCTTTCATGGCGGGAGAATGTCTCAGATGCATCACAGGATATACTGTAAATTGCAGTGAAGGTGTATTTGTAGGCAAATGCGACAGTCAATTTGCAAACAGTGATGGTCCACAAACACCCATCAAGTGAATGACCAATTTTTCTCCGGGGGAATTGCTGACCTGGGCATCAGCAGACACACCCTCCTCTTTTTCAATAGTACCATAGGATCTTTAACATTCACTTAAACAGGCAGACAAGACTGCAGTTTAATGTCTCATTCCAAAGGTCAGCAACTCCAAAATGCAGTGCTCCCCCAGCATTAGACTGTCAACCGAGATTGTGAGCTCAAATCATAGAATGTAACAACATAGGAACAGCTACCAATCTAATAAATTGGTCACTCAATCCACGGCTGTTTGTGGGACACTGCTGTGCGCAATTGGCTGCCGCGCTTCGCCCACAAAATATACAGTCAATTCACTTTACACTATATTCTGTGAAGCGCTTTGAGACGTCTCAAAAACACAATAATGCGCTATATCAAATGCAAGGATTATAATAATTATTAAGTCTGTGCTGGCGCTTTTTGCCACATGAGCTCACTCACCTGCTCGCTCCCCATACACTTGAATAACCTTTCAGTAAACAATTAAGAATAAGGAGGTTCCAGAGTCTGGTGGTTCTGCAATTCTAAGTTATTTCAACACAGGGAGGGTGTAATAATATAATAAACCTTGCATTTGATATAGAGCTTTAGCACGTTATTGAGATGGCTCAGAGCATTTCAGAGGATATATTGTAAAGTGTTGTGCCTTGTGTGTATTTGTAGGTGCACTCGGCAGCCAATTTGCACACAGCAATGTCCCACAAAACAGCCATGGAGTGAGTGATCAATTTTATTTTGGAGGATTGTTAACTGGGGCACCTCTTTTTCAATAGTGCCACAGATCTTTAATGCCCACCTGAACAAGCAGATGGGGCCTTGATTTAACGTCTCATCCGAAGGACTGGAAGAATGTAATAATAATAATAATAATCCTTGCATTTGATATAGCGCTTTTCACGTCTTCTAAGACGTCTCAAAACGCTTCACAGAATAGACTGTAAAGTGAATTGACTGTATATTTGTGGGTGAAATGTAGAGCGGTGGAGGCATATAGAATGATGTACTTGGAACTAGTAACAAGACAGAAAAAAATTGCAAAGCAGCGATTGTAGTTTTATCAATAAGACAGATAAGGAAATCTCAGACTGAGCAAAAGAATATGGAGGCCAGAAATTTGAGCTTTGGTTCGCTGATTGTGGCATTTGATAACTGGTCCAGTATTTTGGGACGTCTTCCTGATGTGAAAGGCTCTTTACAAATGTAATTTGTTGTTAAAGTTTCCATTATTATC